TTTTGATCATTATTTTATTTTTATTAATATTTTTGTTGTCATTAAATTTACTTATAAACATTATTATTACAATTTATTTGACTATTTATTTATTTACCTATTTATTTATTTATTTCTCTCCTCCTCATGCAGATACCTGCACATTCCTCTGGTCACAGTTATTCATACATAAATATAAGACACACTTTCTGTACAAATACATGCACACAGACACTTGAAATATCTGTCATTACACCTTTGTCTGTCTAATTTACAACCTGTCTGTTCTCTGTCACACTGACAAAATTAAAAAAAAAGTAATAATGAAAAGTGTTAATTATACGGCTCTAATGAGCTACTCCACATTTGGAATAGAATTTTGAATTTAAAGTAGCAGAGTTAAGGATGAGATTAGTGTCTTCAGGGCATCCCTCTGGGTTATTGGTCTAAGATTCACACTTTGTAACTGCAACGTTAGCTGTTCTAGTTTCCCTCCATCGTCTGTACTTTCCCTTCACAGTGAGAATCACTGAACTAGTTTGGAATCTGCCAGTGTTCGCTCTCATTCTCTGATCTTTATTATAAATGACACACAGCATCCTCTGCAATGCAGGGGCAGCAAACACATCTCCTTTCTCTTCACTGCATGTTATCCGATATGCTGCACGTTCATATTCTTATTCCACGTGTAACTGTTTCAGATCCGTACGCCCCACGGACCGAGAAGCAGATCCCCTTCCATCAGGGCTTCATCCTAGTGATGAGACACGGGCCGTACCTCACTCTCACTGCTGCGTTCCTTTTCATCACTGTCGCCATTCAGGTAAAAGCAGATTTATTTATAAAGCACTCCTCAGACACGTAACTCCACGTTACAGTAAATGGAGGCAGTGTGGGATCCTGACAATGCGGAAGACTTGCTGCTGACGCTCGATGTTGATTTGATCAATGTAGAAGAGCACTTACTGAAAGCGAACGCTTTAAAACATGTTTTAAGTCTCCTGAGAGTCGTAGCAGCGTGGCACATCCTTGCAGTTTGTCTGTCACATGTAGGCCGATGCTTCAGTTTTGACACTCGGGGGTTTGGGCTGCTTAAATTATTGCAGACTACTCCAACTTTTTACATGGGATCTATTTCTGTATATATTCGCCCTCTCATCTCAGTGGAGGTGTCAGTTGTCATGTGTATGAGCCCAGGGTGGGAATAAATCACTGCAAAATGCCGTCAGCAGCTTCTCCAGTCACTTGGTTTGGCACTCAGTGCAGCAAGCTGAGCACCCAGCGACAGTGCTGAGTAGACAAGACGAGGCAAGACGAGTATCTGAACATTTGATCTCTGATTTCTGCAGCTGGTACAGAGCAACTTTGTCCTCTTCTGCACTTACGCCGCCGACCTGAGGGATCACTTCCAGAATATAGTGCTGACCATCTTGGTGAGTACGGCGTTTATCACCCTTTCACCTCATGAAGATACAACATGACTCCTTGATTTAAAAAATGTTGGTACTATTTTTCCCAGTTCTCCTCTCATATGCATCACACATGATTCTCTTGCACGTCTTTACCCAGGTTTCTGCAGTGATAAGCATCCCGCTGTGGCAATGGTTTCTGCAGAGGTTTGGGAAGAAGACGGCAGCTTTCTGCGGCATCACAGTGAGTATTCTGTTTTTATTTTGGTTCGCCAGAGTAGCTTTTAACGCTGACTACACCGCTTTGATGTTTGTGCCATCTTGTGGACAAAATGGGAACGTGGAATCCTCATCTAAAAGACTCTGTTCCCCTCTTTCTAGTGGATCATGCCCTTCACCCTGATGCTGGTCTTCATCCCTAATGTTGTGGTGGCATACGTCGTGGCTGTGTCCTCTGGACTCAGTGTGGCTGCGTCGCTCCTGCTGCCATGGTAAGAGACTCTAGAGCACATCAAGTCATACTGCACTCAAATTTCCATACTTTAATAGGCACACATAGGCATTCAATCACATTTCTTGAAGTACAGACATTATTATGATAGTCCAGGATTGGTTGTCATACTTTATAGAATTCATGGACTGATGCTTGAACAATGTATCTGAGCATTTCCAACTTCAGGTGAGCCATGACATCATTGACCTAGCAGCCAAACAGAGGGGACAGGTTAGACTTCCAGTTGCAGAATGAGACGTCTTGCTAGCAATGATGAAAGATCTCTTTGGGCCACACCAAATATTGCCAACTGCAGCTCTGGGTCTTTTAGTACACATGTACAAAAATGTCTAAAAAATCTCGTCCCAAAATTGTCCCATCCTTTGGCATGCCCAAAATGAGTGGAAGAGAGTTGCTGCATCCCAGTTACTGACATGTTGCATCAAATTTGTCTGTGAAGTATTTTGAACTATATAATGTCATGTCTGACACACACAGAGGCTGAGTGGATCCGAACCACATGTCTAGTTCCACATATGATAGCTCTCTTGTTGTTTGCCATGAAGGTAGTCCATTTTAGGGCTGGGCGATATGGAGAAAATCAAATATATATTTTTGACTATAGACGTCAATTTTAATATTGCGACTACGGTTGACTACTGGTGCTCTCACAAAATATTTACACAATGAGATTTTTGATAAATAATATTCAGTAATGAGGATGTAATGACTAAGTGTTAAAAGGCAAATAACAGATGAGTTAGAACAGTCTGGTAAGTTTAGAAAATGACATCACTTTACTGTAAAGCAGCCTTTAAAACCAGGAAAAGACATTCAGTCATTCATTTTCCATAACTGCTTATCTTGTTAGGGGGGGCTGGAGCCTATCCCAGCTGACACTGGGCGAGAGGCAGGGTTCACCCTGGACAGGTCACCAGACTATCACAGGGCTGACACATAGAGACA